GGGGGGGGGGTGGAGGCGATACTCATGAAAAACGGGTTTCTCCTGGCAACGTATAGGATGACAGTTAGTTAAAAATCACTGATCTTAATCTCAAGTCACATGACACTCTCACACGCACGCACGCACACACATACACACACAAACGTAACTGATCGACATTGATGAGTGTTGCCAAATCTAAAGGCAGGGGAAATTTTTGCTCATGATGGTTTTGTATTGGATTTCATTTGTGACCGTTTTTATTTTCGTCTTGTAAAAAAAAAAAAAAATCATCGAAAGGTTGCCATTCATTTCTAGGAGTGCACGGAGGGGTCAAGGTGACAGCAAGTATGCGCCATCTGCTTGTTGGAGGAGCTCCTGGCAGCATCGTATAAATATGATTATGTGGCTTTTATGAACCAAAAGAAGGGAACGCCACGGGCATCATAAACGAGAAAAAACATTCACGCAAGTGTTCAGAAAAAAAAGACATTTTAATATGAAAGCAAAAAGTGCTGCATGTATGTCAGACAATTGTCTTTACTCAAGAGATTTATCTGTCAATAAAAAATGTTTTACTTTTTTTTCTTATGCTATTTACACACTTTTGTGAAAAAGAAAAAAAAATAAACCATTACTTCTGAAATGATATGACTTTATGTTCAAACGTGTGACCTTTTCCTGAAAAATAGAAAATAATTCATCAATGTAGAAATAACCTTTCTGAAATTCTGCAGCTTGTTTCGTTAAAATCTGCAACTTTTTATTGAACATACCGCTTAAGTCATGGTTTGGCACCGACAGATTCACCACCTATTCGTGGATTGTTTTAGCGATACTTGTCACATGTTTTGGTTTTTTTGGTCACATTTTTTGTTTTCTCTTCATATTTTTGGTGTGATTGCCAGTGTGAATAAGTGGCTCAGATAATGGATAGATGGACGGTTCCATACATGTACAACATATAGTGTACTACATTTATTTTCTACCAAAAATTACTTTATTGTTGACTACAGTATATACAACTTTTCTCACAATCAATTTTTTTCATGTATTTTCGGATAACATATTTTTGAAAGTGGTTAAAATCTATTTTCTCTGAAATACAAATATTTTTCTCTGCTGAAAAAAAGCACCCCGCAACCCTTGTGAGGCTAAAGTGGATCAGAAAATGGATAGATGGATGGATGAAAAAAAAGCAAACATTTTGTTTCTTCTCAAAAATCTACATCCACTCAAAAAAATTAGATTTTTCCTTCGAGCAAAGATAGATCACATTTATTAAAGATGTTCATGCAGTGATCCTGGAAGCTGCTGCATGTGAAACATTGATGTTTTGATTGGCAAGCGAAAACGCTGAGGAATGCAAAATCACGTCACCTTTGACCTCTCACAAAATCACCTTTGCCTCCAGCAAAAGGGTGTTTGTCAACTCCGTTGGGGTGCTCGGGTCGGCGAGGGGTGGTTCGGGGGCTTTGCGTCCCGTTGTTGACACAGGGTACACCTGCACATGCTTGTGACTCATGCTTGTCTGTTAGCTTGTATTAGCTTACCAGTGCTCAAGCGTGACAATGTTGTTCTTCGTCCAAAGGAAAGTTCACATGCCACCTGAAGAAACTGCCATGCAAATGACGAAAGCCCAAAGCTAACACGCTAGCTTGCCAATCCACAGGCCTTTTTACATAGTATGGCATTTTGATTAATGTCCACTATCTTCTGACACAGTATGTTGACATTATGGAAATACAGTTTTTTAAAAAAAATTGGCGTTTTAGCAAGTACGTATGTAACACCTGTTACAATTACATTTTTTATTTATTTTTTTGCTAGGCAGAAATCAATCCAATTGGTTGCTGCACAGCTACCTGTTGCTAGGCAGAATTAATAAATCAGTTGCACAGCTATTTGCAAAAATAGGCACAGCGATACTGAACATGGTAAAAATAATGTTTTATATATATATATATATAAAACAATGTACACATTTGTTTAACCTACAGCACAATTTATTAAATATAATCACTCAACAAATGAACATAATGCTTTTTTATATATATATATATTTATATATATCACAAGTTAGTAATTTCTTAATGATCAGCACCTTTTTTTCACTGCTGCGCCACATGCTGGAGATGCGGAAAAAAAAATCATGAAATCGTGACATTGTTTCCTTTCCCACCTATTAATTGGGAAAAAAAATAATCCAGTTGCATTCCAATTATGCATATGATGGATGAATTGTGAGTCGCTGATGGTGTGGTGGTTCACTCGGCTGACTTGTGTGCAGGTAGCTTAGGATCGGTTCCGACACGGTGACGGTATAGATGTAGGTGTGAATGGTTGTTTGTCTCTATGTGTGCCCTGCAACTGACTGGCGACCAGTTCTGGGTGTAGTCTGCCTTTGCCTGAAGTCAACTGGGATAGGCTCCACCCCCCACGGCCCTCTTCAGGATAAGTGGTGTCGAAAATGCATGGATTCTCTGCACACTTAAATAAACATGGTTACCCTCATAGCATAATTCTCTGAGTCATTTTAACATATTCTCGACAAGTCAGTGAAATGTACCGATGTACTTGCGAAAAGTATTTGATTATTTGTTTTCTTGTATTCCGAATGTTCAAATGTGACTGAAAAAAACTATGCTATTGGGCTCACGGTATTTCAGTTCTCATTTTTTTCACCTTACATGAACAGCTAATAGACAAAAGAAATGAATGAGATTGACGGTTTCTCTTTTCTTTAATTTAAATATTATATATACCGGTATATATATATATATATATATATAGTCTGCACACACACACACACTCGCGCACACACGCACACACACACACACACACACACACACACACACACACACACACACACACACACACACACACACGCACGTGACAGCTTGTGTGCATAGGTAAACAAGGCAGCCCTATAAATTCAAATAGCTGTCAATGGAGGTGGAATTCCTTCATTGTGTCAGTGTGTCGGCCCTGAGCAGATGCTTTGACTCCAGGCAAGTTTGCAGTTGGCCTTCAGGCTGGCACTCCCAACTTAACCCACGAAATTATTATAATTATACTAAGATCTTGAAGCCGCCATCATTGCCCCCAACCTCCCTTTTGTTTTTCCCAATGCACCCCCGTCCCAAAGCAGCGGACGGCCGTCGCCTCAGGTGGTCACACGTGATCCCAGCTTAAAGCCATCAAGAGCATCACTTCATCTCGTGAACGGCATCAGCTGAAGAATCCCAATCCAGGTAAGAGGTCCCCCCCACTCATGATGAATGCTGAATATTTGGGTTTGAACAAAAATTATTGCCATGTTTAATTCAATTCACTTTCAGGATGTCGTACAAAATTCCATGTGGCGACATTTTTAGGGTTTGAAAAGCGTTTTGACAAAGTGAGAGAATTAATTGCATTTCATCTTATTTATCCTTTCATTATTATTTGAAGACAAATATCAAACTCAAGGCCCAGGGGCCAGATCTGGCTCGTGCGCCACATCATATTCTGTGGCCCGCTAAGGCAAAGCATGCATGTGCACTTTTTCTTACTGTTTCTTGCTAAAATACCAGAAATTGCCAATTGCCTTTACTTTTAATTTAATTTAATTTGAGGTACTTTTACAAGCATTTCGATTACCAACCCCTTTTAAAAATGAACATTTTGACAGGCTTCTCATTTCAAAACTATCTATCCATGATCTTGATGTGTATATGTGATAATATAAGGCAATCATACATTTAGATGGGTTCACAGTCATAATGGCCCTCCAAGGAAAACCATAAGTACAATGTGGGCCATTTAAAAAAAAAAAACAAAAAAACGTTTGACAAGCTGGTTTGAAGGCATTCCAGAAAAGTATGACTTTTTTTTGGTCTAAAAAGTATTCTATTATTATTATTATTATTATTATTATAAAAAATATACAATAATTATATTGTATTTTATTACACACTCCAGCATTTTGAATGTTCAATTTTAGCATCTATTATTCATTACATTTTATTATTATAATTATTATTATTATTATTATTATTAATTATACCCAGTCAGCAAAATTGGTCTGGCCCAGCTCTGGGGCCTTATTATTATTCTATATTTTTGTCATTGTCATTATTCACATAAATATGCAACCCGAGTAAGGATAAGTGGTTCCAAAAATGGAAGGAAGGATGTCACTTTGGAATCCTTAGATTTTATTTTCAATTTTTATTTGATGTTATTGAATTGAATTATATGGCATTTTGTAACTACAATTTCCAGGTGATCAAAACTATTTAGATCAGAGCCATATTCATGTAATTTATTTGAATCTTATTTGATCTTTTTTTTTTCATAAAATATTGGTATTTCTGACTTTAGGATTATTTCCTTTTCTGTTCAGAATTTTCAGAGATTGAAACTATTTTCAGATAAAATCACAATTCCATCAATTCTGAGGGGTTGAGTCTAAATGGAGTGTGAACCCCAAATGCAAAAGCACCACCCCAATGTCTGTGACCTTTCAGGCCAAGGCAAAAAAGACACATTCATGGCAAACACCCCCACCTGGCTGTCCACACACACACACACACACACACACACACACACACACACACACACACACACACACACACACACACACACACACACACACACACTAAATGTTTGTTGGTCACTTTGAGGAAGATGTCCCTTTTTTCTTCTTTGGCTATTTCCTACTCATTAACTCACATCTAAACACTCGGCTGTCACACCGTTGCAGTGATGATGAACGATGACCAAATGGGTTAATTTTAAGCTTGACAAATTGAGTCTCTCTACAGAGCCCCCTTCCCCCCACTGATGACCAGGGGTGGCCAAAGTATTCACACTCTGTGCTTAGGTAGAAGTGTTGATACTTGTGTAAAAAAAAAAAAAAAAACTGTGGTTAAAAGTAGAAATACTCATTTATCTCCTTCACTAAAGTATAAGTACAGACTCTGAAATGTATTTAAGTACAAAAGTGTAACTTCATTTTCACTGTCAGTTATGCACAGTGCATAACTTGCCACTTGGCACAACAAAAAGAAAGTCTCATGTATAAAATGATGTCCCTCATAAATGCGTTTTCTCAACTTGTCTGCTAAATTTGTGATGCAACTCCAAAAAAAAAAAGAAAAAAAGAAAAAAGAAAAAAAAAGTTCTTGATATTGAAATATTTTGACTGTAATAGGGGACTTGTCCTGTCATGGCTCGCCACCGATGCATCATTGCATGATTTGTCTGGCATAGTTTTTAACACTTCCTGATGCAACCCAGGATTTTATTTTTATTTTTAGCCAGGTATACGGGACCAGCAGTGGCTGATTATTGGGGTCCTCACCATGAATCAAATCCGCGCTGTCTGCATTTTGGTTGCAGTATGTCCCACTCCCCTTTCAGCTGGGGGTCCCAGGTCATTGCCTTGGTTGCCAGCCCTACTGCAGCGTCTTTGACTCCCAGGGACCCACAGGGGTATTTTTTTTCTTAAGTTCTTTTTGAATCAGGCAGGTAAATGCCGCTTGCGAGAAATCAACGGTAATCCTTCACAGCGACCAAAAGCCAGTCTCACGCCGTAGTTGTTTTCCCACTCAATGGGCGCATGTGTGCGGAAGCGATGCAGTTCCCATGGTGGGGAGTCTGACTTTGCTGAGCAAATGTCGTCTAATGCTCCTGAAATGAATATCAGGTTCTTGACCAAACTCATTTAGAGATCAGTCAGTGACTTAAGTCCCCCTGCCACGCCACCACCTTTTCCCAGTGGCCCCTCATCCATTTGGACAAAGTTAATATGGCTAAATTTGCTTTGCTAATGGGCTTAGCACAAGCTGTCGCAGAGCAGACACGCAGCAGTGGATTGCAGAGACTAAAATGTGGCTTAGAGGAACCACAAAAGGAGATAAAAGGAAGATGAGGAGGCGACTTTGCGGTGGGGGGTTCCAAATCATTGAATCACACACCGTGAAGGGCAAGCCTCTTTTTTCTTTTTTTATTCTGGGCCCTTGGAGCGATACCTTAATTCAAGTTTGGGGAGACAACGACGGAAAAGAAATGAAAACATCACTTACTCAGAAATCAGAAAATAACGATTCGACAGACAAAGTGATTGACTGACCGACTAATCGACAGGATGACCGACTCACTATCTGAAAACGAATTGACTGACTGCTGAGCTAACTGGCTGACCGAGCGACTAACCTAAAGATAGACCGACAAACTGAATAACCAGAGACAATAACTGACTCCTAACTAACTGAGAAACTAAAGAACTGTTTTGAATGACGGGCCTAACAACTGACCGACTAACTTATTTATTGACTGACTGTATTACTAACCGTTTGACTGACTGACTGGCTAACTAATTGAAAGCTAATCAACTAACTGACATAACTGACGAACAAATTATCTAACTACCTAAGTGACTGACTGAGCAACTCACCAATTGGCAAATGAGCTACAGACAGAATGACTAACTAACCAACCAGAGTAACTAAATGACTGACTCCCAACTGTCAATTTACTCAACTGACTTGAATAACTGATTGAACAACAAAACAACGACCAAATAATTAACCTAATTATAGACTTGCTGATTGACTGAAAACGAACAGACTGACTTGCTGGGTAACTAACTGATCGACAAACCCACTTACTGACTGACTGACTGACTGACTGACTGACTGACTGACTGACTGACTGACTGACTGACTTTGCGGTAACTAACTATGTGACTCCAACCTAATTATCTGACAAAGTAATTCAATCTCTTATTGATAAACTGGACAACCCGCCCGACAGACTGAATGAACTAAATGAGTAATTATCTCACTGACTGACCGACTTATTGACTGATGGACTGCCTAACTGACTAACCACCGTAAGTGACTGACTGCTATCTATATGGAAAACCAATTACAGTAACTGACTGACTCATGAATTGACTGACCGATCGACTGATGAACTCATTGAGTGAAAAATACGCAACCGACTAACTAGCTAACTAATTGACTGACTAACGAAACATTTCCATGTGCTTTTGAAGATCAGACCTACAATCGCACGCCTTTACCTGGATGACTGGCGTATACCGATTATTTGATTGGACTACGGGACAGTAAGGATTGCGCCCTATGGATTCTGTCTAGCAACAAGGGGTCATGTGACCTGACCAAGAACTCTATAGCTCTACAGAGTATCTACTCTTTGGATTCCAAAAATTGTCTATCGGGTTTGAGTACATGTGAAACCACAGCTGGATGTTTTAAACAATTCTTGAGGTGTTCTGGAGTTAGATGGGTTGGCTTAATAATTCCCGAATACTTAATTGTGACTTGAATTCTTTGACGACGTGGTCAAACAGAGCACATGTGCTCTGCGAAGCATCTCTTTATTGCTGATAAGCTGCCGGCCGATCGCCTTCTCGTATGCCACCTGTGTCGGGTACACATGGCGACAGCCATCGCCCTGAGATTACAACACTTGCGCCACAGCTGAGTTCCATAAAAGAACACTTACGACGGCTGTACGGCTGTCATAAAAGTAGAAAAAGAACAGGTCTACCTTGGTTTGTTTTTTCGCATTGTGAAGTCAAAGTGTTCCAGCACATTACGTGAGCCGAGTTTGATTAAAAAAACTCCAGCTGACAGCCGAGCCAGAAGGCCGCGGTGGTGACGGCACCTTGAAAGTGAAGTGGCTGAAGGGGCTGAAGCGGGTCAGCTACCCCCAAGACAGCGACCATTCTGTACCATTGACCCACAAATTTAGCCCAATCCAGTTTGCCCCATGCCTGCCTGTATCACTGTGCTGGCTTTAGCCCTCTCTGGGGTCAGTACCCTCCGACACCCACCTCAACAGCATTTCGTCTCCATCAGGGTTTTTAAGGCAGCTCACCATTTTGGTTCTTGCCTGATGTTGCAATGGATCTCCTCGTTGTACAACCTGCTTGGATGATTTAGCGATTGGATTGCGATATTGCCCCAGGAAATCATAATGGATCTGATTTAGGAACTCACAAGATAACTGAAACGACAACACTCAAGGATCTTTTTGTAAGTTTTTATGGATCTATGAAAGCGAGTTTGGAAACAAAAACTAAATGCAAATACTACATACTGTAACAGTGCTGCTTTTTGACCATAAGTCGAGAACAGGAACAAATACTGCCAATAATGAGAGACTGCTATGTCAGACAAGAATTGATTGCATGCGAAAGACGTAATGGCTCGGTATTTAATTTTTTTAGATTTGAAACAAGAGAGAAATAATAATACAGTATAACAAATTACCGGTATTATAAATCATTTGAATAATTTATGATGATGTAGTGCTGCAGGGTTCAATCCCAGCTCCGGCCTTCCTGTGTGGGGTTTGCATATTCTCACCATGCCTGCCTGGGTTTTCTCCGGGTACTCGGGTTTCCTCCCACATTTCAAAAACGTGCATGGCAGGCTGATTGAACACTCCAAATTGTCCCCAAGTGAGAGTGGTAGCGCGGATGGTTGTTCATCTATGTGCGCCCTGCGATTTGCTGGCAAACAGTTCAGGGTGTCCCCCGCCGATTGCCCAAAGACAGCTGGTATAGGCTCCAGCACCCCCCGCGACCCTTGTGAGGATAAGCTGATTAGAAAATGGATAGATGGCTGGATAAATAGATTCATATACTTGTATGCATCTTTTATGTGGGTTGCTATGTATGATATGTGACATAATGAATACATTTGATCCTTCAACCAAAAGGGCTTTTTTTTTTCATTGACAGGCGCATATGCGCCTGCTATAAAAAATGGAACTTGATTTTCGTGCCGGGGTTGGTGTAGTTTACCATGTTTGGGAATTTGGCTGACCACGCTGCGCCATGTAGGGCCTTATGGTGAATCGAGGACAATTTGTTTTCCATGCCGACAATGCACCTGACAATTTGGTGAGAGAAAGTAGACTTATCTTTAGATTTACTAAAAGGTCCAGTTGTGGTACAGGTGGTGTAATGCGATTTTGGTGGATTTGATCCAAGTGCTGCAGTCGAATTCTGAGCTCTATGGACATATTTGGTGGATGTCATTATATTTCATTCATAAATAATAAACAACGGCATGCATCATCCATCCATTTTCCGATCCGCTTATCCTCACAAGTGTGGCGGGGGGTGCTGGAGCCTATCTCAGCCGTGTTGGGGCAGTAAGCGGGGGACACCCTGAACCGGTTGCCAGCCAATCGCAGGGCACACAGAGACGAACAACCATCCACGCTCACACTCACACCTAGGGGCAATTTACAGTGGTCAATCAGCCTGCCCTGCACATTTTTGGAATGTGGGAAGAAACTGGAGTACCCGGAGAAAACCCAAGCAGGCCCGGGGAGAACATGCAAACTCCACCCAGAGAGGCCGGAACTGGAATTGAACCGGTACCTCTGCACTGTGCGGTCGACTTGCTAACCACTGGACCACCGGGCCTACAAATCAATTGCATTGAATGTCTTCTTCTTCTTCTTATTATTTATTATTATTATCCTATTTAATATATATTTTAAAATCTTCCTCTTGGCTGCGGCACAGCTTGAGGGTGTTGGCACACAAATGGGGGCGATCCTGCGCTCTGCTGATATGTGTTATTCACAAATATGACAACAACATGCATCAAACCCTCTGAATCATTGTAGACATCAATTCACTCAACGCATTGTTTCGATCATCATATTTTTAAAACACCCCACTTCAACCGTGGGGTACAATCCTGACGAAAACACACCGCAAACACTCGCAAACCTTTGCCGCTCAGTGTGACCCGAGCTTTTGACTGCGGTTTGTACTAAACAGGGCCCAAATTGTATCATGGCTTCATTGCTGTCCATTTGTTCCATTTACAGGTGTCCGTAATGTCAAATTCCATTGGAAGTTTAGCAGAAATTACAGTTTATGGATCCCGAACTGGAATGCAGGAGGACTCCCTAACCATCTTGGAACGAAACAGAGATTCCGGGGAGGAGTGGGATCTGGTGGAGGCCAAGACAAGCAGCATGCCGGGCCTCTACCTGCCCTGCTTTGACATGCTGGCCATGGAGGACGCCGCTTGGCTGGTCAAGGTGTCTGAGGCCTCCCCGAACGTGACTCGCATGGAGCCGCACCGAGAGGAGCCGGAGCAGTGCCCTGTCATCGATAGCCAGGGTCAAGGACTCTCCCCGGGCATGGACGGCCCTGAGGAGGAACGTTCTCTGGAGCAAGTGCAGAGTATGGTGGTGGGCGAGGTGCTGAAGGACATCGAAACGGCCTGCAAGCTGCTCAACATCACGCCAGGTAGAGCAATGTCCCCACTGAAGGTTCAGCCTTCACTTGCAATGGCTCACCCTAATTAAAGTACACCCTTCCGGTCATGGGATCAACCCCTACCGTGAGATTGTCTCCACTGGAAGTGAACTCACCCCAAAACACACCCTGCACTCACAGGATTGTTCCCAAAAATTCCCTTCCCTGACGTGCACCCTCTGTGGGAGCTCGCCCCCAGCTGAGGAGCATTCGCCCCAACGTCAGATCCCTAACATGAGAGGGATCACCTCCACTTTCGGCACACTCTTCACCAGCAGAGGGAAGGCGCACCTCCCCTTCCCTAACCGACATACTAACTTAACAAAGAGTTTGGGTAACATGCATTTAGATAGTCCTTTTCCGCAAAGGGCATATTTATTCGGTGATATCTAAGCTACTGGAACTTAGTCCCAAAATCAACACAGCTCATCCGGCCTGACACATCTCCTCCATCATATCCTCAATGGCGTAAAGCTGTGTTTGCCCGCACCAGGATGTGTTTAATCCTGACCTTTGCATCGCTTCTGTCAGGTCGTGACGGCCGCGTTAGACGTGTAAACAATCCCAGTGTGGGCGAGGCCTCCTCAAACACCAGCGAGCGTACTTGGACACTTGTGTACGCTGTCATAAAAGCGTTGTCATAAAACGTGTTGACTTTGCATCGAACATGTGCAGAAAGAGGAGAAGGAAATTGTCAGAAAAGACGGCGTTTTGGGTTATTTCAGCTGTCGCTTTCTTATCGTCTCCATATCAGTGAGCTGTTTATTTACAAATGGTTAGTTAGTTAGTTAGTTAGTTAGTTAGTTAGTTAGTTAGTTAGTTAGTTAGTTAGTTAGTTAGTTATCATCTTACAATTAAATCACACAACCTTTCCTGAAGCTAAATCCTGAATGTAGATCCAACTAGTTATACAAATGTGAATAAGTCCCCAACAAACCAGCTCACCCATTGATTAACTAACTAGCTAACAGACTGACTGACTAACTCACTCACTCACACTCACTAACTCATTCACATCTAGTCTGAAAGACCAACCAACAGTATGACTCACCATGAGTCAGACGAACTAACCAGTTGACAGGGTAACAAGCTAACAAATTTGTTGACTCACTAAATAACTAACCAGCCAACTGATTCACTAACTAAATCTAAAAACTGACACATTGATTCACTACCTCTCAGACAGACTGATCAACTCACTTTCAGACTAACTCACTAACTGGTTCACTACTGACTGAGCGATTGATGAAGGAGTAACTCACTAAAAAATTAACTAAATGTCTAACTCACTAACACGCTATCCAACCAACTGACCAACTAATGCCTTAACTGGCTGACCCAGTAACTAACTGACTGATGAACTTACCAACTGACAGTGTTCATGTTTAAAAACAAATAAACAAAACAAACAAACAAACAAACAAAAACCCCAAATCCATGTACAACGTTTGACGCATTCTTTTTTTTAATGATGATGTAGTTGTTGTATATGTTGGCTTAGACCCGATGGAGTGGAACGTGGGCAACGTTCAGAAGTGGCTGCTGTGGACGGAGCACCTGTACCGGCTCCCTCACGCAGGGAGGACCTTCCACGAGTTGACGGGGAAAGACCTGTGTGCCATGAGCGAGGAGGACTTTCGCCAGCGCTCACCGCAGTGCGGGGACACGCTGCATGCACACTTAGATATATGGAAGTCAAGTGAGTCACTAAATCGACACAGCAGCACTGTCACGTTAACAGCACCTAAACTAGCGTCTACTCTCTGCAGCTGCCTGGATGAAAGAAAGGTGCACAATTGGAGACAACAAAAGTCCAGGTAGGTGGCCAAATACACATGGAGGCAACGTTTAATGTGCATCTTTATTTGAACACTATATCCATCCAGTGGCATAAGGTGGGTAACCAGCTCCCGGGGGAAGGCAAAGGTTACCTCCAAATATCAATAAACAACTGACTAACTAACTCACTGGGTCACTAACTAACTAACCGACCAAGTAACTAATCCACTGATGGACCGCACAACCAACAAGCAATTAACAGTCTTAATGACTGACCGATGAAGTACAACTGACCAACAAACCGACTGACTGGGGAAGACCAACTGATCGAGCAACTAACTAATCATTTAACCAGGTTCACCGGTTGACTGACTGACTAAGTAACTATCTGTCAGAAGGACTGTACAACCATCTGTTCAACTAAGAAGCTAATCAACTCACATATCGACCAATTGACCAACCAGTGACTGATTGACTGAATGACTGACGGATTGATCAACTAACTCAATGACTGACACTGATTGAGCAACTAAATAAACACTTAACAACCCTGTTTGACTAACTGACGGACTGACTGACAACTGACTATCAAACCGATTTTCTGACAACCGACTCACTAATCAACAAACTGACCGACGTCCATATGATTGACCAACCAACCAACCAACAAAATGTCCAATGACTAACTAACTAACTACCTAAACTAACTAATTAACCAACTAACTAACCAACCAACTAACTAACTAACTAACCAACCGACTAACTAACTAACTAACTGGATCACTTGATAAAAATATATACCCGGCTGTCCAAACAGCCAACTGCCTGACCGACCAATAAAGTAACCAACTTACACACTGACCTACCAATCCACTGAATAACTAACTAAATAATTACCTCTTTGCTGAATGGACTAACTGACAAAGTAACCGACTGACCAGCTAACTCACTAACTGACCGTCTGACTCCCTAACCAACTCACTAACAAAGGTAGGCCTACTTTAAAAAAAAAAAAAAAGTATTTTTACTTTACATTTTTGTGGACAATCAACAATGTCTCAGATGGTTAGCCATCAATAACTTCTAGAATATTCAATACTGTAACACAAGCAACACATCAAATATCATCGTCTCGCATAAACAACAAAGGGATGCGGGTACCTTTGTGGTTGACAGGGACTAGAATTCTAAAAGCACCACACACAACAATAAATCAGCGTATTCCTGTGTGTGTATTTGAAATCATTATTCATATTCTGCACATATGCAGGTGCTGAGGACCTTTGGTCTGAGGCCGATTCTTCTTGTTCGGGTCAACCGATCCACTTGTGGCAGTTCCTTCGAGAACTTCTGCTCAAACCTCACAACTACGGACGCTGCATCCGCTGGCTCAACAAAGACAAAGGTACAGTCCTACTTGTAGATTATGGGCCAGACGCACGGAACATTGATCTTTTCTCTACAACCCAAACAACATACAGCACAAAATGCATAAAAATAAGTATAATTTGAACGTAACTTTCATGAAAATATTTTATGATTTGGATTTGGATAATGTAATGTATTAAACAATATTGCATACTGGAAATCCATTCCAAATTCTTCCAAATGACCCGTCCAATTGAAATAAAATATGATCAAACAATGAATGTTAACAAAAGGTTAAAAAAAACAAAAACAAAAACAAAAACATAAATTTGAAGATTTGTGTAAGTTTAAAAAAAGCATTCAACATGAAATAAGCGATGGCAGTACAATAATTTTTAATTTTCAAAAATATTTTTGAAGTCTTGGATATCATTATTTTTATTTAAACACAAAACTTTTGCCACAGTTAAAATTTCTCAAGGAAATTTGTTTAATTTTTTGGCAACAACAATGTAGCTCATGTTGCTATGAATAAATAACTAAAGCATAAAGACGAAGGAGTTTGCGCATCGAGCTCACGGTGCAGAGGTCGTGGGTTTAATCCCGGCTCAGGCCTCCCTGTATGGAGTTTGCATGTTCTTTCCAGGCCTGCGTGGGTTTTCTCCAGGTAATCCGACTTCCACCCACATTCCAAAAACATGCATGGCAGGCTGATTAAACACTAAACTAAATTGTCCCTAGATGTGAGTGTGAGCGCGGATGGTTAATCGTCTCTGTGTGTCTTGCGATTGCCTGACAACCAGTTCAGGGTGTTTCCCGCCTACTGCCCAAAGACATCTGGCATAGGCTCCAGCACCCCCCCCGCAACCCTTGTGAGGAGAAAGCGGATCGGAAAATGCATGGATGGATGGACAAAGACCAAGGACTCATGACATTGTGCCAAATATACTGTGACACACTTTGTCAACAAAATACCTCTCTAGTAATATTATAATATGCCTTTATCCTTGTGGCTCAAGGTATCTTTAAGATCGAAGATTCAGCCCACGTGGCACGTCTGTGGGGTCTGAGGAAGAACCGGCCGGCCATGAACTACGACAAGCTGAGCCGCTCCATCCGCCAATACTACAAGAAGGGTATCATCCGCAAGCCCGACGTCTCTCAGAGGCTCGTGTACCAGTTTGTGCACCCCGTGTGATGAAAAAAAAAAAGCACAAAACTCTCCATCCGCCCTGCGACCTCTGGGTGTGTGCTCATGGTTTTCCACTCAGGCCTGGACCAAACAATGAGGACTGTCTCAGACAACAACTGGGAGTTAATATTGTCGGAAGCACATACTGCCTGTTTATTTTTGCCTTTGTTTTTTACTGAGGGATTTTGAGTTTGGGAGCACGTTGGAGAGTGATTTGCACTTCTTCCTCACAGTTCAGAGGTTCTGGATGCGAATCTCAGCTTGTTATGGGGAGCATGCATATTCTCCCAGCACTTGCATGGTTTTTCTTCCCATCCCCCCAAAAAATGTACATGTCAGGTTCACGAAAGACTCATAATCATCCACGCTGAAGGTGTGAATGTAAATGGTTGTTGTGTATACACAGAATATGCTTTGCAATTGGCTGGCGACCAGTGAAGGATGCATTTTGCATCTCTCGCCCAACGTCAAATGGTACAGGCCTGAGCTCATCTGCTACCCCGATCGAAAATGAATGAATGTGTGGATGGAGCAAATTAAACTTTACACGATGAATAACAAAAACAAGGGGGGGGGGTCATCGTGCAAGTCTACAAAGTAAAAAAAAAATATATATATATATAAAATGCTCACTGCGTTGGTGTCAATAACAAATAATGACATATACAATGCCAGAGACACAGCAAGTCAGGAAAGGTGAAAAGTAAGCTCAAGCCCAATGTTTTGTTTGAGTTGTTGATCAGTTGACTTGATACACAAACATCTGGTTCATGAATGTCGCCATTTTAAAAGGAGTTTGAACAGTGGCGCTTCCATTTTGGTTTGGCGTCAGAGCAAGGTTTCATTTGTTTTAACATTACTTTCAATGTCGCGTGGCAGGTTGGAGGCGTTTAATATGGGACTCTAAGTACTCATAGAAAACTTTATTTTATAATCTCGTCATTCCTATGATCTTACAATGAAGCACAAAATGGGGGTCACCTCAGTGAAATCTCTGAGTGTCATCACTAATAAAGTTACTGCAGGTGATTTTTGATTCTCTACTGACCAGTCAATATTTTGTCTATGAAGACGCAACTTGTGTGTATGATCTACATTTTGCAACAATGTCTATGTCGAGCTTAAAAAAAAGAACATTTTTATCTGTGCTACTGTGTATATATATTGTACTGTATATACTGTGTGTGTGTGTGTGAGAGCGAGGGCGAGAGAGAGAGAGAGAGAGAGAGAGAGAGAGAGAGAGAGAGAGAGAGAGAGAGAGATTTTTCCTTTACTATTTAAAGTGTATGAACTTCTGAGGGGTAAGTTGGCTGGCGAGGTTAATGCTAGGTTAAAAGTGACCTCTGCAGGCCGAACACAATAGTGATAATGCACCCGAAAAGCAGGAATAGTTCCTATCTGACGACGTCTTTTATTTGAGACACGGTTTCATTCCATTCCATTTCATTCCTTTCGCGGTGGGCGCAGCCACCTAAAGACAAAGGACACAGAAAGAAAAGTTTTGGTTCCCTTCTTTTGTTCGGGGATGGAGAGGGGTCAGTAAACGCGGTGGCAACGAGCTCAGTTCTTGCGTAAGAAAAGCTCATCAATATTTCAGTGCTTCCTCTGCAGCTTTCTCTGCCGCTCGCAAAGTAAGACAACACCAGGCAGGGTGTCGTGTTCATCGTTGACACCTTGTCGACTCCCCAGCAGGCTCGTGAAACGCACAAGCACACGCACGCACGCAGTCTGTCTGTCTGTGAGCCCGAGTCTGCACTCAGGTGATGGGCAAAAGTGGAGGCAACTGAGTTGAGGCCATGCGGTGCATTAGGTTCTGTGATGGAACTGCTTGTAAACAAGAAAAAAAGGGGCTCTTGAACGTCAAGAAAAAGGCGCTCCCGAGGAGTGGAGGCAGCTTTGTGGTTTGTGTCACGGATGCGTAAAAGACGGAGTGTCGAAAGCAGCGTTTCGCAAAGAAGAACCAAATTGAAATCAATAGAATAAAACGTAAGAAAAAGACGGCAATAAAAACAACAACAAAAAAGTTAAAGAAACCCAAAAATACAATAGATCAAACTGAAACGAAATATTAAGAAAAAATACAAAAATAGAACAAAACCAAAAAATAAACATTTCATAACTAAAAGTAATGACATGAAATACCAAAAAAAAATCCAAATAGACTCGAATGAAATCAAATCACAAAAAAAACAGCACAGAAATTAGAAAACAGCATCAAACAAACATTTAATAAAATAAATAATAAAAATAAAACAGGAACAAAAACGGTCTACAATAAAGACGGAATAAAATGAATCCAAACAACATTAAATTAAAATAAAATTTAAAAATAATTCAGTAAAACCGAATTAAAAACAAATACAACCTGACAAAAAAAAACCCTAAAAGTTCAAACTGAAGACAAGAAAAACAAAAACTAAAAGTAAAAATTAGAAAGAATTAAAATAAAATGAAATTAAACAAACAACCAAAACAATTAAAACATAACCATCCCTCTGACAGCCAGGCTACCTTAAAACCCCCTTTCCATTATTTCATAGCCAACATATACTGTACACAAAGTCATGTTCCACACAGAATGCATGCCTCAGAAAGCCCTTTGAAAAGAAATTCCCCACTTGAAGTGCCACAGCTTACAGGATTTTTATTCAGACCCCCAGCCTTCAAAATTAAGAGATGAGCCATTAAGGGACCCGACCAGTTTGGGATACTTTGTTTGGTCTGAATGAAAGATGAAAGATGTGTTGTTTAGGTAAAGTGATACGGTTCACCGTTTGCTTGATTTCACCCCAAAGAGAAGCCTAAACAAATTGACTCTTGAGCCACTCCCAAATGCACATGAAGAGAGAGGGTAAAATGTCAGGAAAAGCAATAAAGGAATAGTCTAGAATGTGCGAGAACACACACTGTTTAAATCATTAGTCAACATGGGCTACAACCTTTCAACCCTCGTTAAATGTGACTGTCTCTCCAGTGAGAAATTTCCTGCTTACCGTAGGTACAGGTGTATGTTCCTACCCTTACTGTTCCATCAGCATGTTAGGTGGGCTATATGTCAGCATTACAAACTTCGCATATATATATATATTTTTTTTTTTTTTTTAATCCGGAGAGATTTAACACATCTGTCATGAGATGTGCAGAAAATTAAAAACATTTGTGCTGTTCCTATTAGATTTTTCACGTCTCTGCTGTGAGTGCATGACGGCTATATCCTGGTCAGCTTAGTTTAGTGCAAAGGTTGAAAACATGAGCTACCTGCCCACAAGTCTTGTTCCTCTGCGCTCTTTGTATTAAAACATTGCTGGATTAAAAGAACTGTATGTAGTAATGTAATGCTAGGTGACTACTAGTGAGAGTTAAAAAGCAATCGATTTCACAAACGTTTTCAAGACTTCTGGTTAGATGTTGGAATGGGTAGATATACCCAATAGCAGTACATTTGTGCCACAGTTGTGACAATATTTCACAGGAGAAAGCATGCAGAGGCCAGGAAGGAATCGCGGGATGAGCATCGTGGAAATGTATGCTGATAAACTTGGCTCAGCACAAAGATTAAAAAAAAAAAAATGTGCAAACTGCGAGCAAGTATTGCTTCTCTTTGTTCTTGCCATTCAGGGAGAAGCAAGAAGTCTCTTGGGTTTACCAACATTTTATGGTCCACCAAAGAACCAAAACATCTGGTGTTAAATGTTGGAAAAATGAGTAAAAACCAAATACATGTGTACATTTGTGCTGTGATAAAAATCTTCATTTGTACTTGGATAGCTTCGCTGAGCACAAAGATGTAAAACATGGTCTGCCATAGCTGGGTCAACGTTGGGTCAATTAAGACTCAATACAATGCATGAGACTGCTAGGATCACAAAGCTAATACAGGTATTGACAACCTCTAGTGCCTGGTTAGCTAAGCTTTGCAGACACAGCAAACGGGCTAAGGCGTGATAACTCTTTTGTGTCATAACGCGAGGTGGCGATTGTATTTGCATTGTGAACCTCGAGTATTTTGAAAACATTTCGGAGTCTGCCGATCTTCACCATGTTTGCCTGCTAGATGTTAGAATAAATGAAAAAACTAATCACAATCTTGGAAATTACTGCCACAAAAACAAACATCTCTTGTACCCGGTTGCCATAGCACAAAAATACTAAACCTGCTAAATTCCCTGTGTGTTGAGTACACAAAAGTGTTAACATGTCAAGTGTTGACTTGCATTTTCATTTTTGCTGGTTAGTTATGATGGTAAGTGATTGGCAGCAAGATGTCCTAGTAGTTGGCAGGTCTGCCTCACATTTACAGTATATATATGGTTCTGGATTTGAATCTTGGCCCCCTCCTACTATCATTGTACATAGGTGTGAATGTGAGTGTCTGTCTGGGTGTGTCTGTCGCATGATCTCAAACTAGACTATTCCTTTAAGGCTAGATATATCAATAACTCACAATGACAGAAAACTCATGAGGCATGAACACTGTACAAGCATCCAGATGGTTACAAAAAAAACCCAAAACAACGTCAATATATATATGGAATGCACAATGCATAGCTCGTTCTTGCTGATCCAGGCACCGCTTTGAAGATCGTATCATAAAAATGCAAAATTAGGATTCGCATGGTCCAGGAATGGAGGAACCAAGTTTAGGTGCTCGGAAAAGGCGGAGGTGGTCAATGTGTATCCACGATTGAGTTCAGTTCAGAGTTTTTCCAGGCGTCCGCGGCGGTGAGAGTGTTAGATCGGCTCCACGTAGTTGGCAGGGTAGAGACCCAGCTGACCGCTGTCCAGACGACCTTTGCACCAGCCCTGCTCGTCCTCCTCCTCCAGCTTTGTCAGTTCGTCACCTTCATCAAGAATGTAAAACAGTTTTACGACAGTGTAAGAAGTAATGAATAGTCACTCTGGCACAGGCATCCTCGGTTCATATGGCATATTCTGACTTAAAAATGTTGGGTGCTCTCACCGCAGTGGCAAAGGTGCTCTGTTATGAACCAAGGACACCGTGGGTGACCATGTGACACATACCTGCTTGAAAGCTCAGCTCATCCTGCTCCTGGCCCTCATAGTCGTATAGCGCCCGCACTCTGACACCACCGGCCGAGTCTTCGTCAAAAGGGTTGGCGCCGCCGTTGGTGTCGCTGGCCGAGTTTGGCGCTGTCTGGTCCTCGTCTGACCACTCGTTCGAGGCCCTGTGCGCCTCGTTCTTCTCGTAGCTGCTCATGCTAAAAGAACGCAAGAATCAAAGACCAAAGGAGAAGCGACTTTTATTGTCCCAGAACCTTTGAATTCAATGTTACAGAAGCCATGTTTTTACCCAGTGGCATTCACTTTGGAATGGTACATTTTGATCAGATTTGTCCTTGTTGTGTCAACTATAGTTATCAATTCTCTGTCAGCCAATCAATGAAACCTACACCTAACATAGCACCATTCCACATCTAATTGCGGTTGGTACGCCATCACGAAGGTCACTGGTATTGCGTGGGCACACATGGCCGACATTTACTGTAATTATGAGATGGTGGTAAGTCATGGCACACTCCATTTAGGTTTTCAAAATTATGGTTCAGTGCCGCCAGGGCTAAGGAACTCTGTCATAAACCGAGGATCCCCGAAACAAGACTTTCTCACCTGCCCTGGTCTCCAGCTTGGGACCGATCAACTGTTGATGTGACGTTGGTCAGCATGATGGAATCGTTGCCTTTCTTTGACTTTTCCTTCTTCGTGATGCTGTGGGTAAGCTCTGGGTTGTACTCCTGCAAAACAAACCAGTGGAAATGATTGGTTCGCTCCCATCGGATGAATTGCTTAGGCCAGGGGTCAGCAACCCAAAATGTTGAAAGAGCCAAAAAAATAAAAAACAAATATGTCTGGAGCCGCAAAAAATTAAAAGCCTTACACTGAAGACAACACATGCCATTTGTAGCTATATGAGCTATATTAGCTTGCTATCAACATGACTAAGTTGGCTACAAATACACAATGAGCCTTCATGATTACATTTTTTTTCACCTGCAGTGCATCCTCTCGAGCAGGGGTGCCCAACCTTTTTTGACCGAAGATCTACTTTTCAATCAACCAGCCTCCCGCGATCACCCCGTTACCGCACGCACGCATACGCACGCACTTACACACCCATGCCATAATGAGCAACAGCCATAATGGCCCCTGAGATGAACGAGGCATGGGACACACTTTTATAGCGTGTTAACTTTCGTAGCTCACGTGGGCCGTTTAAAAATGCTTCTCTTTGCCCTCCAGATTCCCATTCTTTGCTAGTACCGTCGGTGAATGGTAAATGAAACGCAGTTTTTTTTTTCACAACAGCCACCTGCCTGGCATCCCGTCCTGCTAATAGAAACGTGTGTCACAGGCTGAGACGCAAATTTTCGTTGACAGAAATGTTGAAATGTAATATTTATTCTTCACATTTTTACAGCATTGGAAAGCGCTAAGAATGTTTGTGTCATGTTTGCCCTCCGACAGAAACCACATTAAAACAAAAACATATATCCGCCCCCCCCCCCCGTCTTTTTCCATTTACAAACATTTTTGAAAAAGCTCCAGGGAGCCACTAGGGGCGGTGCTAAAGAGCCGCATGCGGCTCTGAAGCCGCGGGTTGCCGACCCCCGGCTTAGCCCGACACAAGGACGGTACCTCAAAATGGGGCCAGTTCATGTGCATGCCGGGGCCATGGTTGTTGTTGAACCATTGTAGATCTTCTTGAGCACTGGCTGATGTGATGACACGTTCAAATTCCTGGTACACTGATGCGTAACTGTGCAAAGACAGAAAGGGATCAGAGTGTAGTTGTAAATAAAGGTTGCTATATCGGACTCAGTTATCACATGAATCAAACCTTTGGTCCTCTGTGAGGTTGAGATGGCGTTTGATGTCCAACAGCACCTCCCTGAGGAAGCACAGTCTCTTCTCTTCAAACTGCTGACTCTGCTCGAAGACCTGCTCCATGTTCTCCATGTACTGAGGTGTGCACTTGTTGAGCTCGTCTAGAGCTTTTTCGTACTTGTCCTTGGCCTGAAGATTAAAAAAAACAAACAAACAAAAAAAAAAACAAGCAATGAATCATTGCTCAATGGTGTGACGGTCAAAGGACAGCAGAGATCAGCAGAAGTTGAACATAACACAGCTTCTGCTCTTAAGAAAATGTGTGTTTGTGTCTTTCATTAGATCACAGAATCTTGCGAATGTTCTCACCTTCTGTGAATCAAGTTTGCACTTGTCCACTTTCTCATGGAGTTTCTTCAGCTGGTCGGCAGTCACTGAGGATTCACTCTTGCCGTTGGCCTCCCTGGTAGATGCCAGCTTCTCCTCTTTGCATGCCATGTGGTATGACTTTTTGGCGGCCTCAAGCTGACGGGAAAAATGACAAAAGAAAAGTTTGTCAATCAGGTAATGGTTCACCACAAACAGTCAAATCTGAAGGAACTGCATTTCCTGGTTGTTGAAGAGAAGAAACCAAGAACTTGTTACCACCAAAACCAGGAAACGTCCAGTTGCCTTTTATTCACAGGTGATTTTCTGAGACAGGAATGTGTACCTCGGGTTCAATTACCTCCTTCAACTTTTTCGCCCAGGGCTTCTGGGCCTTCTTGAATCCCTCATCTGCCTCTTTGGTTTCCTTAAAGCCTCCCATCATCTGTTTGTGGTACGATTCTTTCTGCCAGTTCTTCACCTTCTCAAAGTCCTCGCTCATCAGGCTGTTCTTCACTTCATGATGAAGATCACTCACCTTCTCCGCCTCCATCATCAGCGACATCCAAGCGCGTTCTACCGTGCCGTACTGAGGACCTGGCGCAAAGGGACGGCAAGTATTAGTGTTGTTTTAAATTTTGTAGACCTCTGAGTTTGAGACGCCACTGACCTTTGTCTACCAGCTGTCTCCATCTCTTGGACCACTCAGTCAGCTGCTGGGAGTAGGCTTTCTCGATTTTAGCTCGCTCCTGGATGCAATTCATGAGGTCATTGCAGAGCCTATGACCGTCGTCAATTCTCTTCACTGTACGCTTGTAGTTCCCCACCTTTCCAATAGAAAAGAACATTCTAAATCAGGCGTGACAATATGGACACCTGTATCTTGCCAGAAGACTGTCGTAAGTCACAGCCACCTAACAGGAAGTGAAAATAGGCAAACGTTTGCAGATGGACCGCTTAAAACTTTGACAGCTTCGAGTCTTCTGACAAGCGAACCACCTAACCATAACCCTAAATGTAACCTGTAAACCAAACGGAAACCCCAAACCACAAACCTACTACCTAACCGTACTGCCTGAGAGCAACCACTCATCCTTCTCCCCTCAAATTAGCCCCACATCCTAACAAAACCCTCTCAAAATTCCTCTCAAGTTTCTCTGCACCAAACCCATCGAACTTTTTGCGCACCACGGCACAGTCAAGACAAAAATGCAGAATAAGGTATTTCCCAAAACCTTTCCCAGAATTGCTAGCATACATCCACCTATCCATTAGCTGATCCGCTTGACCTCACGAGGGTTGCGGGTGTGCTGGAACCTATGCCAGCCGTCTTCGGGTAGGAGGCGGGGGAACACCCTGAACTGGTTGGCAGTAAATCGCGGGGCACACATGGAGAAACAACCATTCGTACTCAAAATCACACCTACGGACAATTTAGAGTGCTCAATTAACCTGCCACGCATGTTTTTGGAATGTGGGAGTAAACCGGAGCACCCGGAAAAAAGAACATGCAAACTCCACACGAGAAGGCTGTGCTGAGCGCCACATTGTGAGGCAGACGTGCCAACCAATTGACCACCATGCTACCCTGGTAGCATACAATTGTCTAAAAATGTCAAAAAAAGACAAAGAACATGAAGCACGGAACAGATGTTTTTGTATTCACTAAGAGCTGTGTCCGAAGGACCATTCAACTTTTAGGTGCTCAGTTGGAATAAACTCAATTGGTTCTGGCTTTTGGAAGTGTCACGGTAATACATTGGAAAAAAAAATGGAGCTAAAGCCAGAAGAACAAGTTGAGCATACAGATGAGAAAACTTTCCAGTTTTCTCATTGTATTTATTTATCTTCTTAACACAAATCAGAGTTAAGAAGATAAATTTGATATACTTATAAAATATAGTAATTCAACAGAATTACATTGATCAATTTATTAAATGTATTAAAGAAATGCAGTATTTATAATGCATATGAGAAAATTTATATATATAAAGGAGAAAGAATGAGTATATATATACAAACCGAAAGGTGTATAAATAGATAAGTACAGTACACATAAGGGTAAAAGTATTTGATGATATGTAGAATTTTTTCTTCTTTGTATTGAAAAAAGATCAATTCACATACTGTTACATAACAAGGGGTAGGACAAGAGAAGTTATGTACTTCTTCCTACTCCTTTGAACATAAAACTGTGATGATGTCTGTCATTATTTTTCTTTTCTTTTCTTTTTATAATTTTTACTTGCCTTCACTTTTGTCAATCTGTTATTGTATTGTATGTTCTATATGTTCAATAAACAAAACAAAGCAAAAAAAAACTTTCCAGTTCAAAAGACACAGCGTAAAACTCTCTGATCTGTGTGACAGTATGGAGGATTTGCTTAGGTTCGAGTGATCAGCTAGTATGCTATGAAATGAACTCCACAAGGGCTTGCATTACACCCGCAGATGTATCGTTGGCATGGCAGAGCGGCTGAGTCAGCAGCACTGCGATGCAGTGAGCCATAGTGATGTAGTGACGGCAGGCTGGAAGACGAAGCCTTTGCTGCTCCAGCTAAATGTGCGACTGAATGATGTGTTGATGATAGAACACTGCAGAGTGAGAGGGCTCATGCAGTTTCTTCTCAATTGTGTCAAACTAAATGTCGGCAGACTGGATTTCAGCCCTCGAACGCCTCTCTTGGGCTATCGCAAATGGAGCCAAAGCAGTTTCAAATGACATTTATTTTTTTGTGTTTTTATCGCATATAATTGAGACTGTTCAAATTGTTCCTGTTGGACTTGTGTGTATTGTTCATTTCCTAAAAAGATGACAATGTTGCTATTTCCTGAAGAGAACAGACTCAAACCGTTTATACAAAAGATCAGTGGTTTGTTTAGCATTTTGTTCCCGGACTGAAATGCGATCTTAAAAGCAAGGTATGTACCAAACCGTGATTTTTGGAATCTGGTTCTCGCCCTTGGGATGACATATCATAACCGGTAGCATTACAAGGGCAACCATTACAATGTAGCCCACGGTAAAAAGTAGTTTGACACCACTGACTTAGTCTTTAGTAAACCTAAAGTGAGGTGAGTGACACATATCCCACTAATTGGGCTGAATGGGTGCATTTTTCTCTTATTTCACAGATTATCCTGTGGTGTGTTAGGAGTGATTTTAGTTGCTAATATGTTTCACGTCAGATACGGGAGATTTACGTCAGTTTGCTGGAATACAGCAAAACCACTAAACTGCCATATCGCCTCTTTGTTGCTCAACAGTGTTGGCTGTCATATATAATGAATGACCGGTGGGAAGGAACTCCAGTTACTCATGGGTTGCTTGTGCTCTGAAACCCTATTTGGCGATGCCATGTCTTTATCAACACACACAATGTTGAACCTTATGGAGTGCACTGGCTTGATGCCGAGGATGGCCGAGCTTTTGCATCCTTGACTTCTATATTATAAGGGAACACACGTGTAGATTTGTGAACCTAGAAAAGTCACAAATTGAGCTAAATTTGAACATTACTCACCACTTCCTGTTTAAGTCAACAAAGCCCCCGTTAGCACTTGTCTCTGAAAGATCACTCCGGTAATGATGTTGACAGTCTTAAGAGTGATTTTTTTTTTTGGTTCTCCTTGATCTGCCAGGAAAAGGCGAGGGCTGGTAATCACATTGTTAAACATGTTCAATATTTACGGTTGAAAATCCTTTTTATCCTTTTTCTTTTTGGCAGTCCGGATACCTTGTGGCAACATGTTACCTTTCACAGGTCAGTTTTGGTACTATAACAGACCTCTGTTTTGGGGGTGGGGACTTGCGATTTTCGATGCATATTAGTAGCAGTCAGCACACTGATTTTTAAACACATGTAAGTAATTCCTTGCACGATCAAGAAATAATTCTAGGTGTATCCCCCTTTAACTCTGAGACTATAACACCTCTCACCCAGAGTGCGCCAGGACAAGCCCCTGCTCATCCTTGATCCTAATGAAGATAAGTAGTGTAGAAAAGGGATTCATGCTGTCTATGAGTGTACAGTGGACTTTTGAGACACGCACCGACGTAAGCAGTAAGAGTGTTTAAACCGTTCCGATGTGCAAGTGACAAATATACAAATCATTTGGGATATCTTGCAGGATAATAAATACATGTATTAATCCATCCTCACAGAGCTCCCCAATGAGGTCGGTTCACCAAGAGTTCAATCACCAAAGGCTTTTTTTTTTCCCGTCCTTCTCACCTCCCAGAAACTGTCAGTGTTCTCCTCCAGGCTGGCTGACTCGTCGAAGGCGCCAGACATGGTGGCAGTCGGGGCAATGGCGTCTTCGTTAGCTCCTCTTACGCGCTGCGAGGATGAGATGAGAACGCATATGAAAAATCCTGCATTTTAAGAAGATTCTCTCGAATGCCTCGTTGCATATTTTAATCCCGAAGACGGCGTGCTGAGTAATATCAGACATTTATGCAATCATGCATATATTTCCTTCACAGGTAAAGCTGCTTTTAAAACACCAGAAAGTATCTGTGCATTATTTTCTTTACTTTGCAGGGTTAGTTTGGTCGCAGTCAATCACGCACAAGGTGATAACAGTACAAAGTCTCAATCTAAAGGTGAAACACTGAAGAAAACAAGCAGATTGTGAACGCTCAAATGCTGTCCGTACGTTTCTACTCCCCTTGGGCTAAGATCAATATATGAAAAGACCGGCTATTAATCTTCACTGGGATCGACCCGGTGACATTTCCTGGGGGACAAGAGGAGCCTAAACTTGCAGTGTCACCGTGTCATCAATAAAACGCAGCCCAGTTGTTGCAAATTAATTAGGAGAGTGGAGAGTTAAACAGATCCAGTCAATTATTGTCCAGACAAATAAGCTCCCAGAGCACCGTGCGCTAACTTCCACCCCTGCCTCTCACATACCAGAAATTATTTGTTCAATAGAGCGCACATAGAGGTGCTGTTAGCATAGCATTAAGACAGGAAGCAACAATCTGCATTATGCAAATGTTTATTGCAATGACAAAGCCCAAAGTCTGATGTTCTCCAAGAAACACGTTACCTCTGCCAAGCAAAAAAAGCTCATAGACGAGCGGTATTTTTTCTGATATTCTTTAATTGCTCTTTTTCTGAGGTATTGACAAAGCATCCAACCATCCATCCATTTTCTAATCCGCTTAACCTCACGAGGGTCGCGGGTGTGCTGGAGCCTATTCCAGCTGTCTTCAGGCAGTAGGCGGGGGACACCCTGAACTGGTTGCCAGCCAATTGCAGGGCACACTCAGACAAAGAACCATTCGTGCTCACAATCACACCTAGGGACAATTTAAAGTGTTCCGTTCACCTGACACGCATGTTTTTGGAATGTGGGAGGAACCCGGAGTACCTGGAGAAAGCCCAAACAGGCACAGGGAGAACATGCAAACTCCACGAAGGAAGGCCGGAGCCAGAATCGAACTCTGCACCTCTGCACTGTGAGGCAGACGTGTGAGACCACCATACCGCCCGGTTAAGGAGTTATTTATGTGTTTATGGTTCCACTGAACTTTCTAAGACAAGTTGCTGTGCCTGGGAGCTCACTGCACCTTTTTAAAAACTTTTTTTTTTAGAATTTTAAATATCTTGTCATGATGACAATCTGAAAAGTTGGTGAATAAATGCACTGAAACAAAGTTAAGTGTTGGTGTTTGTACTATTCCAAATTTTGACATGAATATTTTCCTTTTTAATGTAAACTAATTTCGGCTCCAAATATCGGTTATCAACCTCCTTGACTACGACCCATCGGTATTGGTATCGACCCTCAAAAAAAATTAACAACAAATACGGCCTATCCCTAATTTACAGAGCAAAAGAATGCAGATCAGAAACATTTTGAGGAAAGTGCGACAGCTGGGAAACAATAGAAAGAGAATGGTGTGTTTTGATAGGAGATCAGTGGGTTGTGGACGGGGGTGGGGCGGGAACAGCGTGGGTATTTGGGTCAACCATCATGACACTTTTGACAATGAAGGGGGCAAGAGAGCAATGTCACTGGAGTGAGAGAGAGAGAGGGGAAGAGAGAGAGAGAGAGAGAGAGAGAGAGAGAGAGAGAGAGAGAGAGAGAGAGAGAGAGAGAGAGAGAGAGAGAGAGAGAGAGAGAGAGAGGATTTTCCTCATATTTAAAATCCACTCCATTGAGAATTTGTGATCCAAATGCACTTGATGGTTTCGGGTGATGAGACAGTGTTCACAACATGCTTGTTTGATCCATTAGCTGCAAACCAAGAGGAAGCATTTGTTTCTCGCAGCCCTACCGGCTTCTTCGACTTTTAAACCAACGTTACCAAGCTGATAACACACAAAGAATGAAGGCTGTAGTGCTCGTCTCGAAACCACTTCAGAGAAAGAACCACAACTACCAATATGGTGAGCTCGAGGCATCAACTCAACAAGACAAAGACCAGCACAGCCCCCTGCCTGAACAAAAGCTTACCCCCAGTCCTCCATTAGCGGCGGCAGAAAGGAGAGAAAGAGGACACGTGGTCTTGGACAACAACCTCCTCCAATTCGGAGCAACAAGAGCATCAACAGATTCAGCGAGGAAAGGAACCAGAATCAACCGGACGCGCTAAATGTGTGTGTTTGTGTATGTTAGCGAGAGAGCGGTAATCCTGTGTTGTTTAGCTCCAGAGGCTGCTGAGCCAGAGGGACACAGGAGGAGAAATGAGGCGGTTGGTGGTGGTGGGGGGTACTTGGTGGGTGTGTTGCTGCTTGGGTATAAGGGTGGTTACGCCTCTCAGCTTCTCATGTTTTTGTTTTGGTTTGCCCCTTTAGGATTCAAACTGTACAGTTTAAGACAATCTTTTTTGCACTAAGGACCGTTTTCACATAAAGCTATATTTTGATGGACCAGCATAGAAACAAACAAAAACAATTTCAAAAAAACCCACTTATTCATGACATTGAGTGTAGTTGTAACGGTGGGCGCTTTGCACTGGCTTCTTTTCTGTCACATCTTGGGAGACAATGACACCAAAAATCTAATACTCATGCCCAGTGCTCTGTAATGTTTTGGTTGCTGAAAATCCTGATTCATAAAGAAGATGTTGGAAAATGTAACATGGTATTCAGTGCTTTTTGTGCAGTTCTGAAGGGTTTATTGCGTTATTTGAGAGTCGCTCGTCACGTATGATGCGCGTTGGGATTGCTGCACAAAAACGAGCTGGAAGGGTAAACCTGTATTTTTAAGTAGGACTGCTTGATATTGACTCTTAAATGCAGCTTTCTTTTTATTGAACGTTGTAGGTTCTTCTTTTGTCTCAGCATTGAGCCTTGTGCCTTTAATGAAGAGGCTCTCGAAATACATTACTTATTTTTGCTACCTCATGGGCTTACTTTTTTTACAATCACATCTCATGACAGAGACGAGCGGGTTAACATGCATGGACACAAAGGCGGATATACCTAACATTAAATCGGAATTGGGCAGTTAGACCTAAAGTTTAAATCCAGCTTTATAACTAAAACTATTACCCACCAGGATAATTTGTCTTTGGAGTGTACGCACAGCATGAAAAACCGTAGCGGAGGTCATTTGAAGCTCGAGGCAGTGTTTGAGAAGCTGATAACACAGAGGGCGGAGGCAATCTTTGGAGAGATACAAGGCATGCAGAGAGAGATATACGGTGGTCATAAAATGGAGAGAGAGTCAAGCCGCCACGCTAATGATATTTCGGAACACAAATTGATCGTGGGCTCTTATAGTAGGACTACTTCTCAAGGGATTCAAACCCATAACAATAAAAAAAAAAAATACTTGTGGGAAGGTCTAATTTGAATTTTGCCAGTTCAGGATTGCGATGTACGCTGCCATATGTGCACCAGCATGCTAGCATTACTTCTCCTTGCTTGCAATTTCTAATGAGAGTTTTTAGCCATTGGACTAATTTACTGGAATTAAATATTTCATTAGGGCCTGAGCAGCACCAGGCAGAGCATAAAATCTCTTGGGAATCTCTGCAAAAGGCCTTTTAAGTCACCAATTTTTGGAAGACTGTGTACCCTGATAACTATTTTAAGGATTAAAAAATTTACCCCACATGAAAAAATTAAAATACTCCCGAGTGGCCCTTGGAAATCTAGAAAAAAAAACAAAAGCATGACCCGACAAGTTTCGCCAAAAGACATGAAATTGTGTGGATATGCCAATTACAACAGCATGCACGAAAAGATCTCTGAGCCAAGTTTCAAACCTGGAACCTCAGAACTGTGATGCCGACCTGCTAGCCACAAGTTCACAATGCAGCAGTTACCATAAATATAACAGAAAAAAACAGACACTGGATGAGAACAGATACAGAACCTGAAGTATTCCTGACGCCGCCGCCGCTACTGCTCACCATCCACCGTGCCAGTATGCAACACGCCTTCAACACACACATGCACACATACACACCTACACGCACACACTGCAAGAGTGAACTTTGCTATTTCCTCGCAAAGACACATCAGGCCATCAATAATTAGCAAAGGAGAGTCACAGGGAGTTGGAGGAAGAACACAGAGGAGAGACAAATAGTAAGAAGGATGACCTGGTGCTGAGTCACCATCGTTTCGGTTGAGAATCATATGTGGAGAGGGATGTATGAGAATTGTCATGACTTGGCCTTTTCTGACGGGAAATGTGCAGGGGTGGCTTTGGGTGTCCTGGAAAGCACTACATAGGTGACATTGGTTTGACATTCATTCATTCATTTTCTGATCCGCTTATCCTCACAAGGGTCACAGGGGGTGCTGGAGCATATCCCAGCTGTGTTCGGGCAGTAGGCGGGAGACACCCTGAACCGGTTGCCAGCCAATCGCAGGGCACACAGAGACGAACAACCATCCGCGCTCACATTCACACCTAGGGACAATTTAGAGTGTTCAATCAGCCTGCCATGCATGTTTTTAGAATGTGGGAGGAAACCGGAGTACCCGGAGAAAACCCACGCAGGCCCGGGGAGAACATGCAAACTCCAAACAGGAAGGCCGGAGTTGGGATCCAACCCACGACCTCTGCACTGTGACGTCAACACGCTCACCACTGCACCACCGGGCCCCTTGATTTGACATATTATTATTATTATTATTATTATTATTATTATTATTATTATTATTATTCGGCACATTAGGTTTAGTGAAGGCTTCAAATTGTCCATGAGTGTGAATGTGAGTGTGGATGTTCCTTTGTCTAAATGTGCCACGCAATTGGCTGGTGACCAGTGCAGAGTGTTGGGATGGAAGGTGAGCAGGGGCTTTTCCTGGCTGAGTCTGGGAGAGAGGTGTTGGATACTCTGGACTGCTCACCATCCAGTCGCAGCAACCATGTTGAGACTTTCAGCTATGAATGCCTTCTTCCACACCAAACTGGGCTTTCTTAAACCGTTCCCACGAAGCTCAATACATGTAATTGTCCTAACCTAACCCCTGATGGATTCATTCATTGATTATCTGAGTGTAATGTCTAATTGAGATGAAACACACACATTCAATCACAGACAGATGTTCTGGCCATCTGCGTGTCTTCTAATCAGATTTCTACTTCAGGGTGGGTGGGATCGCTCCAAGTGACCTCTGGGTTCCATCCTGCCATTGTGGGAGCTAATTTATGACATCACAAATTAGAGTAGAGAATGGCTTCAAGTCTCGAGTTGTCTCTTGGTTATTGATAGGCAATTTTGAAATGGACTCTGGCTGCTTTTTTGTCATGGTAAAATGAGCTGATGTCCACAGGTCTGGACAGCACATTCAAGTTGAAGGGTTTCTGTTTAATTCTGTTTCATTTTTCAACCAGAGATGCAAGTAAACTTTACGATTATTGCGCTGATCCTGAACCAGCACTTGTTTTCTCTCTAGAACATCAGGTTGTCATAAAAACAATAACAACACCAATAATAACAAAAATAATAATAATAATAATGGTGGCCTGGTGGTCCAGTTGTCCAGCGCGTCGACCACACAGTGCAGAGGTACCGGGTTCAATGCCAGCTCCGGCCTCCCTGTGTGGAGTTTGCATGTTCTCCCCGGGCCTGCGTGGGTTTTCTCCAGGTACTCCGGTTTCCTCCCACATTCCAAAAACATGCATGGC